GTTTCAAATAAATTGACTTGACCTTTTTCCTTAATTCTATCCAGAAGATGTTTTTCAACCCATGAGCCTGCCTCAGAAACAATATCACTTGCACCCATAATCATGGCAGTGTCGAGGGCATCGACAACCGTAGCACCTAAACCTCCTAACCCATCAGTTCCTTGCTGGCTCAGTGGCATGAGTTCATCATGCCCCATTGCATACCTTTTATAGCCGGACCATGCATGGATAAAAGCATCCTTAACTTTCTGTTGCCTTGAAATCCATAAAGACTCGGAGATTAATGTATTTGGATCGATGTGGTAGCTAGTATTGCTACCTTTTTCATCTGGTGGTAATCTAGGAGGAAGTCTAGGAGGTTTTCTCCATAAATTCCTAAAGTTGATGCCACCATTACTCTTGAACTCTCCTTTCTGATTATTTTCACTAACTTTGTCCAGTCGATTGGGAACAAAATCACCTGGAGTAGTACTTGTCAATAAAAGATATGCCAAGCCAAATATCAAAAGTAATACTAGAAACTTCCCCGTACTACAACTTAGATAATCACGTTTTCTGCTACCAGTGAGTAAATTCTGAGTCATCACCTGACAAAATGAGATGATATTTTTGAGTTGTAACGCAGAAAAAACAATGTCAATCCATATCAAAATACTACAAGATTGATACTTAAAACAAAAAATTCTGATAAACAATGAGGATTAATTCAAAGGTTTTCTTTTAGGATAAGATCTAATAACCAAAGTTTTGTACCACCAAAATACAATCTTAGTGTCTATCGTATGACATTAAACTATGAGGTTGCTAATTATTATATCCAATATTTAAAATTTTGAAAATGTATACAGTTCCCAGGGTCACCAATAACAACCATCTCACAACAACTAGAGAGGAGTATTTGGGAGAAAGTCGCATGCCTCAAGTGTCAGACGAGCAGTTCAACATGTAAGGAGAATTTAGGAAGGAGCAATTTCTACTCACGAAATATCTACTATAAAGCCGGTTTCAGGCATGTGAAAAGGAGATGTAAACTTATTCTTTCTTGAAAAAAATCTGGAATATACTTTTGGTTAATCCTCTTCTCTGTTCTGTCATACTGTTAGCGCAGTCATCCAACACTAATGGTCTGAAGTTTACCGTAACAGAAGATAACGTGTATAACCACCAGCCGCCGATTATACATTTAAGAACGTAGTATAATTGCACATCAATAACAAAGGACCTCACATCCATTGTGCCACAGATCAAAGGTTGATCACAACAAACAGACAAGTAAGCGTAGAACCTAAACTCCGCAATCTTGCTTTTCTATGATGATTTTCAATAAGCGTAGAACCTAAACTGGCAACATAGCTCGTGGTTATTTCACAAAACAGACAAGTAAGCGTAGAACCTAAACTCCGCAATCTTGCTTTTCTATGATGATTTTCAATAAGCGTAAAACCTAAACTGGCAACATAACTCGTGGTTATTTCACAAAAAAAAAATATCCTCAATCTTGCTTTTCTATGATGATTTTCAATAATTATGAACACATTTCCCACGAAAATGACTATTCAATCAAATCTAGATGATCAATTCCGTTGAGATTCATCTCGAACCAACATCGCAGTCTTAAATAAAGTATACGGCATTAGTAAGTACAATTGAACCTGGAAAGTCAAAAGTAAATCCAAGCACAATCAAAGTTCAAGGAAAGGAACGAATAAGAACTAAGAAGTACTCGTCGCAAGAATGCAACTACAGAGCTGCCAATTCATCCAAACATTAACCGAATAAAAAATCGCACACACGCAAGATAAGCAATCAGATTTCACGCAATCGAAATGGAGCAAGAAGTTAAGATCTAGTAGAGAAAGACCTTGAAGTAGGATCTCTGTCGAAACTTAGCATTGTCGTAATGAACATCCTTCACAGAGTACGGTAGAGAACTCCGCATATTCAATTGGATCGCGGTTTAGGTGTTTCGTACGGTTAGCCTCCTCTCCGCTACTACACTCGGAGGCCTGAGTTGCAGAAAGAGAGAGAGAGACGCGGATATTTAAAAATGGCAACGGATTCCTAGTACTCTTCCTACATCGTCCGATCGATGACTTTCAAAGAGAAGATCGGAAAATTTTGAGCGGGAAATCGATTGGCGGCAATTGAACTTATGGATTGATAGAGAACAAGAAGAGAGGTTTTCGGGTCGTTGACGGAAAGAGAGGAAGAGAGGAAGAGAGGAACAAGGTGAAAGTAAGTTGAAACCAACTAATACATCCGCTAAAATCGACAATTTGACATAAGTAGGAAATGAGAAGCGAACTGGAATTTTTTTTTTTTTTTTTTCTCTTTTAATATTTATAAATAAATTTTACCTTTAAAATAAATTAAAAAACAAAATTTACCCATTAGGGATTGTGACGTGGAATTGCATTTTTATTTTCAACCGTGGTATCATGGCCTTACACATACACACCTTAAATAACTGAACTAGCGACGTTGTAAAAGAATTCGGTGACCTAAAAAATTCAATCCACTCGAATCAACTTATATCATTTTGGTTGAGTTATCAATTTATTTTAGTCAAGTTAAGTTCAAATAAACGAAGGATTTGGTCAATACACAATTCCTAGTTCAGATTAAATTGAACCAACACAAAATTGCGGTTAATACTTGACCTTGACTCGTCGTACTAGCATTCGCTAAGGGAGTCTGTCTGATGTCAAGATTATGTTTGTCCAAGACATGTTGTCTATGACCATATGTCGGATGTCCCAATCATGTTTGTCCAATACCCATTCCAAACCTTTCAATCATACACTTTATTGAGCAATTTATGACCATTCACCAAAATAATGTCTACACTCACTAGGTCTAAAATGCACTATTATAGGGGAATATGACTAATTGTCACTTTTTCCTACCGGGGTTATATGCTATCAAAATCGTTATTGCTACCTACTAACTTTTAGCTTATAATATTGTGTTCTTTCGAATTGTTTTTAATGTATTTCCTCGTTCACGTTTTCCAAAACATTTATCTCAAACGTGATCCGAAGTTCGAACATACGCTGACATTGTTTGTGAAGTCCGAATTTCTCGCAGTTGATTTATTCGCTAAATTAGAACAAGTGTCATACAATCGTTGTTTCACTGCCATGCCATGCGAGTGCGATCATGACAGTAACCCACCAAAAAAATGGACCCACACGACATCATCTATATGCATCAAATAGCATAACATTTCTCCACGCCCCTCTCTCCGGACAAATCTCTCCCTCTTTTAATCTCTCTCTAATTTTCGGCTCCATTGACTACACGCAAAGACAAATTAAATGCACCATCACTATAACATCCAAACCCTCTCTTCTCCCTCTTTCAAGTCAAATGGGTTTCAAGATTCAACCCTCCTCATCACCAAATAACCTCTACTACCGCTCAATCTCTCTCTCTCTCATCCTCTTATTTCTCCTAATCTCCTTCTCATCCGCTAAACCCCTTCTCCTCCGCCGCCCCAACCTCGCCGCTCATCACCGGTATCGGACCACCCTCCACGTCGGCGCACCCACCACCACATTCACAGCCAAGAAATTACAAATGGAGACCAACAAGAAGAAGAAAAAGAATAAGGCCACGGCTTTTTCTGCGATGCTTCCGAAGGGATTTGTCCCTCCCTCTGGTTCGTCTCCTTGCCATAACGAAAATCCTGAATTTGTTGCCTTTTATTGCCATCTTTCTGCAACCAATCCTTGATTATTCTTCCATGGAGGAGATTTTTCAGCTTTCTTGCTCATTTTTTCTGCTTATAAAATTTCCCTCTTCTTGGAAATGTGACAAATTTAAAGACTAATATATGGTCTCCATATATATATAATATATATATATATATATATAGAAGAAAAAAGAAAAGAAAATAGTTCTTTTTTGTTTGTTATGTTTTTTCCTTTCGTATATTATTCAGAATCTGAAGAAGGAAGGATGATGGGACAAACGACGTCGTTTTGACTTTTTTTTTTTTTTGTCATTATTTTTTGAACTTGCTTTCTTGAAAATGCACTAATGGCTTGAACATTAGAAGACAAGATTATTAAATAAATAAGAAGTCCGTGTGAGCATATTTTGTTTGGTTTCTATGAAGGAAAATAATTAGGAATATGCATATTTTAAATAAAAATAAAAATAAAAAGTAAAAGCATGTGAAGTTGCTTGGATTATTGGAATTTGATTTTCGTAGCGTGCACTTCATGCATGCAATGGAATTGGCTTTTTTCGAGATGTACGTTCATTTAGATACAACGAATTTAAATTATTTTATAAATATAAAAAATAAAAGCATTTATTTTGGAATTTCGAAGATTAAAATAAAATTTAAAATATTTATACACATGAAAAAGCTTGGGATATTGGTACACGACCAAATCTAGCTATGGAAAAGACAACGTTAAGAAATTCACATGTAGCTGAGTTTGAGCTATATGTCAACTTTTATTGCGGACATTTGAAGTCATCCAGATCAATCATATCTCGCCAGGCTGCCCTGTTTCCCCAAACAATTAAAAATAGGAAGGACTACATGATGAACTTATAAATCTCATTTTTGTCTAAATCATCCATTTTTTTTATGCTCGTAATTTGGTTGGGAAATGTAAGTTGTCATTGACTTCATTCGCCCCAAATCGTCGCTCACCCTCCTCAGCCACTAACAGATTGTCGAAGATTTTGGCTGAAATGGGTGCTTGAGGAATCAGCTTTTGGCATCAAATTCTCAATGTTCTATGAGTGGCTGTCACTGATGATCCCAATTTCCCACCACACATAATAAGAACAGAACAAGATTCCAGTGAGAATTTTTGATAATATACTTCATTCTTTGTGAAAGATGCCAATTGCTTATCATAAACAGGCAAGAAATTTCGTACCAGTTTTTGTGTTCTTCAATATCTGGATTTCAAGTTTTTCATTTGAACAGCCGCAATTGAAGATGAACTTAACTTCTACAATACTAAAACACCTTGGGAGATTCGAACACTAGCGTTCATCATCCAACAAGATCACCAAATTTAGAAGATGAAAGTACATGAAATCTACAACTGAAATTTAATTCAGAGAGTAATTTCACTTTTCTGCAACTGAATTCATACTATTTGAACTAAAATAAGCAGGGGATCTGTGCCCTAGTTTTAAGCGAACATAGATTTGTATCATCAAATTACCCGAATTGACTCATAATTTAGTAGAATTCACCGATCGTTTCCTTCAATCCCCAATAATTTTTACTTCTTCTGATCAGTTTCTTCTTCAATCAGAAACGCAGAGACCGGGAAAGACTTTGAAATTCCAGTCAGAGTACCAAACGTGATCCTACTCGTGTTGTGTACATCAATATAAATATCGGAAACGGTGATCGAAAAGAAGAACTCCTTGCTTTTAACTCCGGTGAGGCGGCGGAGGCGGCGCTCCTCGATAAAGGCGGTAACCTCGGTGTCGTACAAGACAGTGCGTCCGATGGCGACGAATCGATGCTCCTTTTTCTTCTGCTGTTTGAGCCAGATGAAACCAGAGGTCCGATTGTAGCCGACCTCGAGGATGTCGTTTAAGGGGAGAAGTCCTCGGGGAAGAAAGAATTGATCGAGAAGTTCTTGAGATTTTTGCTTGCAGATAGCGTCGCCATGGTAGATCTCGGCATCTGCTCTGTGGGTCTCAAGTTGCGTCGACATTTTTCCGGGGTCTTGATTTGGTAATTCACATTCGTTGGATCGAGGATTTGCATTTATAGTCCGATTTTGGGTAGTTTATGAGATTTCGTGTTCTTCCGGGGCGAATTCATAAATTTGAATTTGCCAGTGACCATAACAACCAATTAGAAATACGATACCACGCCACCATATATAAGATTCTCGACCTCATGAAAATAACAAAAATGTCTTTTAAATTTCAAAAAATAAAAAAGAACATTTATAAATATTATTTAGAAAGAAAATTCCGTAATCTATTTGGTAATGTCACGATTTCATCTTTTTTTTCGTTAAATAATATTTACCTTCCAATAATAATAATAATAAAAGGAAATAATGCATTTGGCAAGTATTCTAAACCCAATATTTACCTACACTCGTCACACTGGCATCCAGACGACGCCGTATCGTCCATAATAGAAGAAAGGAAAAGAGAAGGGGTAGTGTGGCTGACCTGTCAAGCTTTTACTTTTGACGCTATTGTCCCCTGGGAAAAGCCAACAGGTGGCATAAGAAAAGGACAAAGAAGTAAAATCAGGAAACGTCACCCCACATCTGGAGAAGATATTTCTGACACTTGCTGCAACAACTGCCATTGACATACAGCAAATCAGGGCCGGCCCTTTTAGTTCGTATGGGCTTGGAGATTTGGGGGTCCAGTTCAGAGCCACGATTTGCTTTGATTTTGAGATTGTGCCTATATTCCAAAGCAACTTGCTCGAAAACTTCTCCTTCGAACATGTTGATTTTGATGGATGGGGTCAAATGATCTCTCACAAATGCAAAAGCCAATTGGTCCCTTGGGTTGAAAGCTTCCAATTCGTTGAACAAAAGGCAAGAGAATAGGTTGCTTCCCCTTCCATGTCTCCTCAAGATTAAGGCACTATCTGGTACATCTGTAAAACACCCATTCTACTAAAATTAAAAAAATCAAATCTTTATTGTTTATTTTCTGGTTGGATGAATCAAATTTAAAATATTTTCATCCAACAAATCTAAAATACTTTTTTTCTAGAGAGAGAGAAAAAAAAAAAGAGTGTAAAAAAAAAGTCTCCCTTTAATATTCGATTTTCTACTTTTGAAAAATAAAATTTGTTTAAGATAGATAAAAATTGATGAAAAAAACAAGGGAAAAGCCAAAATTATTATTATTATTTTTTTTAAAAACACATTGTTAAATGGCGATTAAAAACGTAATTAAAACAAATAAGCCTTGAACTAGTTCGTGCTCAATTTAATAGTAATATATTTTCTATCATGTGCTATTAATATTTAAAATAGTATTAGGAAATAATAGAGGGATGGAAACAATAAATCATGTGTTGACTACGTAAAATATAGAAAGATAAAGCTTCGAGAATCTATAAAGTAATACAGAAAGAGTTGATCTTCCCACTAATGGCAGAGTTGAACAAAACAAAAGGAATAATAATAAATAAATAACAAAATAAAGAGAGAAAAAAAAAAAAGGTTTTTCATGATTCCACGTGCCTCGCGGAGAGACCAATATTCTGATCATGGAGGATTATATGCTTCCATTACCCTTAATACTCTCTCCAAAAAGGACCAGATGAATAATTACGACAACTTCACATTCAAATTAACTATAATTAATGGTTCCCACTAATTTCTCTATGTATTTCCCATTAACAATAATAGTAATTAAACTATATATAAATTTTGTCATTATATTTTCGTAGTATATTATTGAGTTCATTAATCAACTCAATAATATCATGCATTATACAAATTTAATTAAAATTCATCTAATAAATACATTGCTATCACATTCAATTAAAAATAATAATGTTAAGATATAATTCAAAATTTCAATCAAGTCATTCGAACTTTTTAAACTTTACTTACTTAGATATACTCATTATTAAAAAGTATAAATGAATTAAATCAATAGTTTAGGCCAATTTTCTATTTTAGGAATTTAAATTACAGATTTCATTTATGATTTTCATAGATATCATTCAAAAATAATAATAAAAAAAAAATCTTGGATTGCAAGCAAGAAAGCCGTGGGAAGGGCCATGATATGCATGAGACGTGACTCCCAAGGCTTAATTACAACCTTACAAAAGGCAAAGCCATAGCCAAAACTAAGGCCATAGAAATTATTTTTGGTGCCTTTTGACCTAATCCAGTTCATGCAAGCGGACGAAATTTACGAAAGAGTGTTTCAGTTGGAATCTTTCTATGCTTTGTTTATTTTGGTCTATTGCCAACTCAAGGAGGGTATAAAAGGTTGCATGCATTGTTTATTTGAACAAAAAAAAAAAAAAAATGGTTTGGGTAAAAAATTGCTATATTTGAATATATGGTCAAAAAAAGTAAAATAGAATCAAAACTTTAATTACTTTCTAAGGGACTAATTTATTAAAGGAACATTATGAGTGAAACAACCACGGCGAGAAATTACCAATGGTAAAAGTAGATGAAAAATTACCTGTGGTATATGGAAGCTTACTGGGACTCCATGGTTGCAACCCATTTTCGCAGTAAGTTTCCATTTGGTTCTTCAAGGAATCAACATCCCACCATTTCTTCCATCTGGCAGTTGCCATGGCCTCTTCCATTGTGTGAATATAGTACGGATGTTTGGAAATGGCCATATCTGCATCCTCAGTCACAATTAAAGAATGAATCAACAACAATGGATCCACCATTAACTGAAGCTTGGCGTCCACCCATATACTGAATTTACAGTTTGGAAATAGTCTGTGAACCAAATATTTAGGTATTACGCCATTCATGGCAGGATTTTGGTACAGATTCTTGGTTGAAACTCTCACGATTCTCCAAGCTCCGATTATATCAGGATACGAGTTTCCTGTAGGAATTATTTTGTGATTTTCGAGTCCTCTCACCGTGGTATCATCAACAAACATGAAAAAGCACACGTTATCCAAAGTCTTCGATCCGAGGCCTCTCGGTTGCCGAATTTTATCGTGATCGTTGAAAATCGCCGAAACCACAACCACGCCGTTGCAACTCTCCATAGCAGTTTGATCTGCCGAAATTCGTTTTGAGAAAACGTACAAAAAGAATCGGAGAAACACAGAGAAAGAAATGCGAAGAAATCGGATCCGAATTTCGCTGTACCAGAATCAGTGACAGGAAATTTCTTGAGAAATCCACAAGGAATCGGAACAGAAATATTATCATCGAAATATGAAAATCGCTTTTCGGCCGAGAAATTGCCGCCGAAACTATCTGCATTACCAGCGAGATACCTCAAATTGGAGGACCGCCAAGAGGAATTCCACAGCATTACCTGGATCTCATTCAAAACCATCCAATAATCTGAAACACAAGAACATCGATCGGAACAGAGGAAAAACCTAATAAACGAATTTTGAAAGCACGATCGTACCTGAGAAGAAGATAGGGGTGGAGCAGGAGGAGCGGAGGGTGGGAATGGCGTACTTGTGCTCGCCATAGGAGGAGGGATAGGAGAAGAGAGGGAACTGGATGGGATCGAAGGGAGAGGATCGGAAGAGGCATTTGGAGGAGGAGAAAGAAGTGTAGAGAGCGAGGAAAATGGAGGAGATAAGGTAAAACAGAGAGAAACAGAAGAGCTTTGATTGGAATAGCAGAGGCGTAGACCAACCCGGCTTTCCCATAATAACACCTCTGTATTTCCATTTTCCCCATCCATTTTCTCATCTCCTTTATATAATTCTGTTTCTTTCGTCTTCTACTGCCTCACTTAACTCCCCCTTCTTTTCATTCTCCAAAACCTATAACCGTTTCTATTTTTTTATTTCTTTTTATTTTTTACTTTTTCCTTAAATCACGAGATTTATAATTGTATTTGAAGTTGATTATAAGTAAATGGGGGTGCTGCTCCTAATTCCTCCTGCTTTCACCTTGGTGAAATATACGTGTCATAGCTACTTGTGACATCATTGCTATAGACTTTTGTATCTAAAAAATTGTTGAAAAAATTGTTGAAGCATTTTTTTTTTGTGAGAATTGATCGTGAAAATCAACCCACACTTGATAAGCTGTCTTGGCGTGAATAATACCTTCGTCGATATCTGCTTCAACTGAATGAGTTAACCAAGATATTATCATACTATTGCACTGATTCCGTAGTTCAAATTCAATTAAATTTGCATCCTTGAGACCGTTCTTCAATTGTGCCGAAGCCAATTTTCTTTTTGACAATAATAGCATGCATAATTGATTTACTCATGATTGATAATTTGTTTCATTTAATTTGATTGAAACAAGTGAGCATCTTGGCTGATCAGGGTGATGAATATAATAAAGATGTTAAATCAACCTTCGAAATTTTGAAGCTGACTGATTTCAGGGTAGAGAAATTTTTTGATATTTAAGAATACCAAGATAGGTGCTGTGATACCATGTTAAGAATGAGAAATAGAAATAAATAGAAATAGAAATAAATAGAAATAGAATCGGGAAGATAGGTGGATGGGTGCTCTGACACCATGATGAAAAATAGAAATAAATAGAAATATAATTGGGAAGATAGTGCTCCGATACCATGTTAAGAATGAGAAATATAAATAGAAATAAAATTGGGAAGATAGGTGAGGAAAATATAAAATAATTAAATATTAAGAATAAAATAAAATATACAGTAAATTAAATCGAAAATTAAATGAATATTTAAGATTTAAACATTATATCTCTATTTAAGTATCGATTATGTTGGCATTCAAATGTCCTTCCATTTTATTTCATCACTATTTTTCTTTTCATTTGGAGTTTCCTAAATTATTCACACAATTGCAGTAAAAGTTAGAGGGGGCTTGTTTGCTTTTTTATTTTGTTTTCTTCTTTTGATCAATGTCTTGTTTGAGCAGGTCGACGACTCGTTTAAAATCCTCGAAATGGTTGACGAGCTTGTAAAAACCAGAGTCTTTAATGTCAGGTGGTAAGAAGAATTGTTCTCTCATTTCCCTAAACTTCTCCCATTCTTCTTCTGCCTTTTGGGGGTTATTCAGCAGCAGTTCAATTATTGTCTGCCAAGTGTTTGAAGAAATGCCACACAGACAAATATAAGGTTTTTAACCCTTTTTCTACAAGAAATATATGAACAATTATGTACCTTATACAATAATCGTCGAACATCTGAAGGCTCATCGTGATTCAAGCATTCAGCCTTTGCTGCCTCCTCAATATCTCCCTAGAAATGCATAGAAAAAAAACAAATTTGGAGGCTGAGATTCACATTTTTTTGGATCAAATGTGAGCGATTAAGAAACAAGTTTGTAGTAAGAAACACCTTGTAAATGAGCGCTTCTACAAGAAGCATCTGATATTCATATTCATGGTATGACAGTGATTTCTCCTTGGCTTCTTTTACTGCTTTTTTTAATATCTCAATAGCTTTGTCTTCTTGTCCTATCATTTCCATCTTTGCCAGAACGTCCTTTTGCACATTAAAACAATCAATATAAGCATCCACACAACTTGTTTGATAGTAAAAGTTAAATGCTTCACCTGAATATGTGGGAAATCAGGAGTGTCTGTGTTCGTCATGTTCTCTAACTTCTCCAAATAATCATGTTGAATTTCTTGGTTTGCTCGTATTTTATGGTATTGAAGCATTCTTTTCATGGCTATTCTGCCACCATGTAGAGCTCCTATGGACATTGATCTTGTGAAAACACGCTGGGTTTTTTTCTCCTTTTTCCTCTGAGTATAGGCATAAATCAACATGAGACCAATGCCGGAGATTATGACACTCGATGCTGTGGCTCCTGCTGTTGTTCCATATTTGGTTTGGATCTTAAAACTCTTGAGGAAGTTTTTCATCATCACAAAAACGTCTCTTGCAAATGCTAATGAGAAATATGCCATTTTGTATCTTGAACAGAGCTCGCGGTGCCGAAACAGGGCTAACAACAAGTTCAATTTAAATGGGATTTTGTATCTTCAAAGCATGAAACTTGTGTAGATGGAAGAATGATTCTTTGCTTCTGTGTGGGTACGGAAGCTAGAATGTTGGGATCATTACTTTCCACCATTCGGCTTACTCTTCGTTATGTATCGTCATCAGTCTCGCTATTTATCTACTGATTATAGATTTTCACGCTCAAATATTTCGTTTCTATCTCTAACTGATATGGATCAATGTCTTTGTTGGCACACTATTTTGACATAGGTAATAATTGTTTTTTTAGATTAAATTTGTAAAAAAAGAAAAAATCTTTTTCTTTGAATCCAACGGCTAGCAACCAATGGGTCGTCATTATCAGCGCAGAGGTTGGCCGAGGATGCTCGATCTTTCATTATCAACGAGAGTGCTCATGCAAATCTAGAATACTTTTGCACTGACAAGAAAGGAATTTTTTGGTGAGGAAAGCTATCTCACGATATTGTCTTTGGGATGTTTTTTTCAAAAAAAGTTTTATTTTTTATTTATAATTGAAAGATGATTTATCTAAAGAAATGAACTTGATGTGATCGTCTAAAAATCTTCTTCCGAACTATGTCCCAAAAAAACAATACACAATTATAATTCATTAAATTATGCAACCAAATAAATTTGTTATTTCATCCAATATTACAATAAATTTTTACCAAGGATAACGTAAAATAATTATTTATAAGTTAATTATAAATTTTGTTCCTAAACTTTAATTTTGATATATTACCTTATTCTTCAAAATGGTAGTCGAGAAAAAGTAATATAATCTTATATTTGAGTGTTCGCGAATTGGATAGAGCTGGAATATTTTTTAAACTCAACACAATTATTCTGAGTTATAAATTTTACTCAAACAATTTTTTTTTTTTTTAAAGTTAGATTTGAATGGTTCTAATCATTAATAATTATGAAATATATATAATAAAAATGTATATTTTGAAATAAACAATAAATTCAAATTTTTAACTAATTTTAGCCGAACTTATAAATGGAAAATCGATAAAGTTTGATTATCATTAAAAAAAAACTAAAAAAAAGAAGTTTATGATTAATTAAAACATAATCCATAACTAATATTTAATTTTTGATGTCTTGAAATAAACCAACAATGGACATTAATTTTCACGAACTTGTCTCCCAAGCAAATTATTTAATGACCAATTTTGGGAACTCGAAGAAATAATTATAAATACAACGTCACTCTAACTAATGGCTAAGACTTTCTTTTAAGGAAACTTGGCCACGCCCGTATTTTTCTTCCATTTCTACCCTCGTACATTATTTGTATGAGATTTAGTTTTATTAGATTTATTTGTTTTTTTTTATCTGATTTTAATTTCCAAAAAACGTTGACTTTAGTTGTTCAAATAATCCCTAATCCCTTGATTTATGGGATTTGAGTTGTTTTGATATGAATTTAAAATTTGTTTAAATTAGATTTAGATCCTTAATTTGTTTATGAGCAATTTATAAATTTTAATTAAAATATCCAAATTTATAATTTGACCATTTATTCAATAGTCAATCCGGCATATTTGAAAACAATTATTTAAATTTGGAACATTTGGCATTCGGTAGCTGCACTCCAATCACTCAATCTTGACTGTATATGGATTAAAAGCTTCTTTGTTAATATTTATTTTACAAATTCACTTATTTTGCCATTTCCGGCCCAACTCTTGCTTTTTCCTCCACCGCCCTTCTTTTTTATTTCCTCAATTTGTAAAGTCGAATTGGTTGTCTGTGCATTGTGCAACGAATTCGAATTTCGAATCCTGATCCAAATATTAGGCATGAGATATTACATTTTTAACCTAAATTTATGTTAAATTATTTAATACATTTTAGCTTCTAATCACTTAGACCATAGTTTGGAATGTATGAGCTTGTTTGGAGGAGTATTAAGTGGAGGCATGGAATGCCCACAGATTTTGTTTGATTTTTATGGGACTGACAGCAAAATTACACCATTTATTTCCTTAATTGAATATTTTGAAAATTAATTGAAATTTAAATTATTAAAGAATCTGCTTGAATTGACCTTTTGATTTTCATTTCTAATATAAATGACTCGACACTCTTTCCATCTTTGAAATAATTACAGTCTCTCTATCTATCACTTTCTTCAAAATTGGAAATAGAAGAAATGTACTCATGAATTCTAATTTAATTGTAAGAGAAAATAATTAAATTTCTTATTGGTTCAAAATCTTTAAATAATTGCAACTTTCAAAAAATCTATATATATATATATATATATATATATATATATATATAAATACGAAGCTCAACGAAGTGTTCTTGGGTCTGTAGCTCTTTCATTAAATCTCAATTCCAATTCTTTATTAAGAAAAACCATATAATCCGCCATGGTTGTTCTGTCTCAGCCTGCATTGGATTTAGCCAAATATTCTCTTCTCCGAGCAACATGTAAACCCGCCGTCGCCGCCGCCGCCGCGGATATTCCGGCAATCGACCTCGCAGACCCTGACGCGAAGTCCCACATCGTCAAGGCTTGCGAAGAAATTGGCTTCTTTAAGGTGGTAAGCCATCGAGTTCCCATCGAATTGATGACCAAACTGGAAGATGAAGCCCTCCGTTTTTTCAGTCTTTCTCAGGCTGAGAAAGATAAAGCTCGTCCCCCTTACCCTTTGGGCTATGGCTCCAAAAATATCGGCCCTAATGGCGATAAGGGGTGGATTGAATATTTCCTCCTAAATGCAAATCCTCTCCCTCTTTTCGCCCCAAACTCCAAATCTTTAATGT